GTTTTAAGGCGATTGGTTTCCTCAGTCAGTTTGAGTTGAACTATCGGGTTATTTAGTGTATGAATATGGTGATTTTTTGGGATGAATGTGAAGAATGTAGCTTCTTTTGTTACATATTATTTTACTGCTGTTAAATGTTTTGTTAAATCATCAATGTGGTTTGTGTTTTTGTGCCCTGCAGGTCAGATAACCTTGTCTGAGTTCATGGAGGGAGCTCAGAAGGATGAATGGGTCATGAACCTGCTGAAGTTGGACGTTAACGCTGCCGGCTGGGTGATGCAGAACAGTGGGAGGTTGCCATGATCTCTCGCCGAGCGTGTTCACAGGTTTTTGTTTGAGGCTGACACAGAGGTGCTGTGTTCGTACCTCGGGGGGGGGGGGGTTTGCCTGCGGCTCCACGTCGAGCTTCCTGTAACTTGGAGCTGGAGCTCAGTGCACTTTTTCACAGCTGCAGTTCTGCTGTGATTCTGCCTGCAGGTCCAGAGGTTCTGACTGTATGCCTGTGGGCTGTTATGGCATCAAACTGATAATCCAGTACGAACATGCTGTCAGTTATTGTGTAATTACATCCATTGTTGTTATATGTGTTTGTAGTTTAGGACTGATGATCATAGTGGATGGAGTGTAAAAAAACAAAAAAGAAAGAAAGAACGAAATAAAGTATTGATGGGGAGTAAAGATGTATTGGTAGTATTTTCTATAATACCCGGGGCGGGACTTAGAAAGGGTCAATTAGGGATTGTTACAAAATAATTAAAGTGATGCAACAGATGCAAATACACAGAGTGCAACCAGAACATATCAATAAGGGCAACTTGAACCTACTTGGCAATAAACCTGATTCTGATTCTGAAATCCAAAATATACAGAATGCCAAGAATATAAACAGGTTAACAGTCAGGATAGAATAACTGAGGGAATCTAGCTGAAGCCCATTTGCAGCCACTTTATAAAGATGTTATAACTATTGTGTTAGCAAACAGTTGACTTTTTACAGCAAACATTTTATTCAAATAAATAAATTCCTTTTTTATGGTAAAAAAAACTCGCAGCTGCGGTTGCCAAAACTGTTCTAGTTAGTATATGCTCTACAATTATTACTGTAATAAATTCAGTATTCAAGATATGACATGTTTTACTGTTAAAGAACCTGTATTTAACCTATTTAGAGTCTTTTACTGTCGTGATTTGATAGTTTTTAACTGTAAAATCTACAAACATTTTTTACAGTGTGGAATAGACCAATAAATACATTCACTCTTATTTTAGCTCCAGTTTGGTCTCCACCAACTCCAGAGGGGAATATCTGGCTCTTTCAGAGGGAAACCGATGAGAACGGTGGAACAGCAGAGTCGAGTGATATCTGTTTTAGTTACTTTGAGCGATTCTTTTCATATTCTTTAACAAAATAATTGTACGTATTGTTAATATAATATTTGTGCAGCTTTGAATGAGATTATGTCACCAAAATATCTTCTGACAAATAAACCCATAAATATTTCAGAAATGAGACACAACTGACATTAGAAAAATGTTTTAATCCATCCAGATATTTCTGCAATGCTGTGTTTTAAATTTGATTGTGAACTAGAAAACAATATATTATGTTGTTTTATTGACTTTATTTATTTTTTGTACGAGTGAAGAAAATGTTTCAGGTGAAGGTGAAAAGCCGTGCTGTATCTGTTTCAGATGGGCATTTATTTTGTTAATAAAAACATTTTTATACACACTTCATGCTTTATTTTCTTGATTTGCTTTTAGACCCAGTGTCGTGATTCTGCCACTTGGTTTCACCCAATTTCTGAAATGTTCAAATCCTACAAATCCTATACACTCAGAGACTTTGAGCATAATCCTCAGAGGCTTAGTGTACGCAGTTAAGTCTTGGCTGCCAAACACCTTGTTTTAGGTGATTGAACGTGTCAGAGTACAGAGGACGACGCTGTACACATCAAGTGTTTTCAAAGCACTACATAAAAACAGTAATTAAATTAAATAAAACAAATATTTAATTCTGCAAACTGAACACTTAACTGCGGTGGCGTCTCTTTACAATATGTGCCTGTTTGAATGCAAGCTGTCCTGCATGTGTGTTCTCTTAACTTTCTATATGTAACGTTAATTTAGCAACAATGTGTAGTAAATGGGAAGAAGCTGTGCAGTTATCATTTGTGGCAAACTTAAAAAATAAAAACTGAATGTGATTTCATGAAGAGTGTCAGGAAAGTAATGAGGTGGATGGATGTGAGTGAGGGGGGGGTGCACTGTGTAACATTGAGGAGGATCTATGGTCAGAAATGGAATATAATATTCAGAGGTATGTTTACATTCGTGTTTAATAAACTAAATATATCAATCGTTGTGTTTGTTACCTTAGAATGAGACGTTTGTATCTATAAAGGGAGCGGGTCCTCTTCTGGCGGAG